CTGGTGCTGAAAAGATGTAAAATTGATTCTCCCCACGGAGGAAATTCCATGAACGGGGTGAAAAAGTTCTCCCTGGAAGGAAAAAAAAATAATTAAAATAAAAAACGGGCTCCTAGGGCAAAGAAAACAGAACAGCCACGTATTTTCTCCATTTTTGTAACATCCGTTTCGGATAGCGACGCCCATCCTCTGCGGCGCGAGAACTCAGCCAGGCTTTCACGATGCAATTATATTCCTTTCCTTCCACAGGAGCCATCCCAGATGGGAGGGCGAGGATTTATTGATTGCTCTTGCTGTCAATAATCCAAATTTACTCCACTTTCAACATCTGGCTTCAATCCCTTTAAGCACCACTGGCTGGCGATCCCGAAGGCGGTGCGCTCCGGAGCCAAGACCCGCCAGGTCTTTCGTCCAGAAGGGCGATGTGTGTGTGGGGGGGGTCTTCCAAGCCCCATCCGGGAAGGTTAGAAGCATCTTCCAAGCATCTTCCAAGCATCTTTCCAACGCGGCTGTCCAGATCGCTCCGCTCCCAGCTCTGCCCGCGACGGTCGCCCCCAGCTGCAGCCGAGAAAAAGCGCCTTTCCGAAGTGGCGAAGGAGGAACCGGAGCTGGTTTATAAGGGCAGCGCAATAAAGCCAGCCTCCCTTTTTTTTGCCACCCAGTAGGCGTGAGCTTGCACGACTGCGTCATTTGCACGCCTGGTGTGAGTCCCCCCCCCCCACCGCTACGCCTTCAAGGCTTCAGCTCCTCAACCATTGAAAGGAGGGTGTTTTGACTCCGCCATGCTGCTCTGCAAAACGGGGCGCGCTCTTGGCCTGCAGCGCAACCTGCGGGTCCTGCGGTCGTATGAAACGGTGCCTTGCAAGCTCGCCGCTTTCTCCCTCCCCACCCCCGCCACGGTTCTCAAGGCTGAAGTCGACGCTGCCTGGCTAGACACAACCTTTGGATTGTGGTGCAAAGCAGGGAGTGAGGTTGTGTGGCTTGAACCGCGCGCGGGCCCCTGGCGCTGCTCTCTGAGCTGGGTTGTTCTTCTTGCAGGCGTTTCCTGGCTCAACCATCGGCGCTAGTAAGGAATGGGGGTTTGTTCTCCGTTTGTGTCCTGCTGGCTTGCCCCAGAGAGAAACTGAGAGCAAACCACACTCCTCCCACCATAGCACTGACGCTGTCACCTAGTTGGGTCATGAAACGTCTGCAAGGGAAGCAACAGGGCTCAGAAAGCACTAAGGATCCCTCATTGCGACCCTGAGCTGCAAATATTCAGTAAGGGTGGGATTTGCTCTAGAGGCTTGTCCAGAATATAAGCTGAAAGCAAACCTCTCTCCTTATTACCATTAGCTAGTTTGGGTAATGAAACGTTTGCAAGAAAACTATCAAGCTCAGAGAGCACCAAGATCCACACAGTCCTCCTCCTCCTCCTCCTCTTCCTCCTCCTCCTCCTCTTCCTCCTCCTCCTCCTCCTCCTCCTCCTCCTCTCCACAAAACCTCTTCCTTTTAGAACTGTTGATGTAACCTAGTTTGGTAATGAAACGTCTGCAAGAAAACTACCAAGCTCAGAGAGCACCAACGACCACACAGTTGTTGTTGTTGTTGTTGTTGTTGTTGTTGTTGTTGTTGTTGTTGTTGTTGTTGTTGTTCTTCTTCTTCTTCTTCTTCTTCTTCTTCTTCTTCTTCTTCTTCTTCTTCTTCTTCTTCTTCTTCTTCTTCTTCTTCTTCTTCTTCTTCTTCTTCTTCTTCTTCTTCTTCTTCTTCTTCTTCTTCTCCTCCTCCTCCTCCTCCTCGCAAACCCTCTTCCTTTTAGCACTATTGATGTAACCTAGTTTGGGTAACAAAATGTCTGCAAGAAAACTACCAAGCTCAGAGAGCACCAAGGTCCACACAATTCTCCTCCTCCTCCTCCTCTCCACAAAACTTCTTCCTTTTAGAACTGTTGATGTAATCTAGTTTGGTAATGAAACATCTGCAAGAAAACTACCAAGCTCAGAGAGCACCAACGACCACACAGTTGTTGTTGTTGTTGTTGTTGTTGTTGTTGTTGTTGTTCTTCTTCTTCTTCTTCTTCTTCTTCTTCTTCTTCTTCTTCTTCTTCTTCTTCTTCTTCTTCTTCTTCTTCTTCTTCTTCTTCTTCTTCTTCTCCTCCTCCTCCTCCTCCTCCTCCTCCTCCCCCCCCTCCTCCTCCTCCTCCTCCTCCTCCTCCTCCTCCTCCTCGCAAACCCTCTTCCTTTTAGCACTATTGATGTAACCTAGTTTGGGTAACAAAATGTCTGCAAGAAAACTACCAAGCTCAGAGAGCACCAAGGTCCACACAATTCTCCTCCTCCTCCTCCTCTCCACAAAACTTCTTCCTTTTAGAACTGTTGATGTAATCTAGTTTGGTAATGAAACATCTGCAAGAAAACTACCAAGCTCAGAGAGCACCAACGACCACACAGTTGTTGTTGTTGTTGTTGTTGTTGTTGTTGTTGTTGTTCTTCTTCTTCTTCTTCTTCTTCTTCTTCTTCTTCTTCTTCTTCTTCTTCTTCTTCTTCTTCTCTTCTTCTTCTTCTTCTTCTTCTTCTTCTTCTTCTCCTCCTCCTCCTCCTCCTCCTCCTCCTCCTCCTCCTCCTCCTCGCAAACCCTCTTCCTTTTAGCACTATTGATGTAACCTAGTTTGGGTAACGAAACATCTGCAAGAAAACTACCAAGCTCAGAGAGCACCAAGGACCCCTCATTCCAACCCTGAGCAGGGGGTTGGACTTGATGCCCTCCAAGGTCCCTTCCAACTTTCTTCTTCTTCTCTTCTTCTTCTTCTTCTTCTTCTTCTTCTTCTTCTTCTTCTTCTTCTTCTTCTTCTTCTTCTTCTTCTTCTTCTTCTTCTTCTTCTTCTTCTTCTTCTTCTTCTTCTTCTTCTTCTTCTTCTTCTTCTTCTTCTTCTTCTTCTTCTTCTTCTTCTTCTTCTTCTTCTCTATTCTCCTTTATTGAACCATGTGCCTTGGTTCTTCTGATGTTTTTAAAAAGGAAATCAAACTTGCAATGCTCCCTCTAAGAGAAACAAAGATTCACAAAAGCCAAGGATTGCCAGGTTTATTATTCTGCGGTTCCAAGTAAGAAGTCTTTGTCTCTGGTGCATTTCATCAGAGTTCTCCTGTGACAACCGTGGCCTTTGAGGTTCTCCATTTCCGAATATGTTGTGAAAACAGGTTCAGATTTTCCATGTTAGGCTGCTTGAAAATTCCCTTCAGATTTCTCCTGCTGATATTGTTTAGGGCTTGTTTAAGGGGGGCTTGGAGGCTCCTTATTGTGCAATTTTCTCCTACACAACACAGGGTCCAAATGATGGCGGGGTGGTGGTGATGTTGGAAGAGCTGGGAGATCAAGGATCAGTTGTAAATACCACTTGTTTAGCACCGTTACAACTTCAGATGGTTGCTAAACGAATGGCAGTAAGTTGAGGACTACCTGTAGTTCTCAGCCAATAAAATCATGCATAACGTGGAGAAGATGGACAGCGTTCTCATGGATCATCAATCAATCAATCAATCAGAATAAAGCTGGAAGGGATCTTGGAAGTCTTCTAGTCCAACCCCCTGCTCAAGCAGGAGACACTATAGCCGTGGTGGGGAACCTATGGCACGCGTGCCACAAGTGGCATTCAGAGCCCTCTCTGTGGGCACGTGCACCGTCATCCCAATCCTAGGCCTTCAGCTGAGTTTTATAAAACCTTTTCGCTTTAGGCCTCCACCACCATGTGCAAAAAAAAGAGCGTTCAATCAATCGATCAATTTCAACTTCTTGCGGGAAAAAAAAAATCTCGCAAAATTGGAATTGATTGATTGAACTTTTTAGTCCCATCCAGTTTGCTGATACCACCGCAGACACGCCCACCCAATGGGCCACACCCACCCAATGGGCCATGCCCACCTGACACCCGACGATACATAAGTGGGTTTTGAGTTGCAGTTTGGGCACTCGGTCTCTAAAAGGTTCGCTATCACTGCATTATAGCATTCCATACAAGCGGCTGTCCAGTCTCTTCTTAAAAGTCTCCAGTGATGGAGCATCCACAACTTCTGGAGGCAAGCTGGAGACAGCAGAATAGATGAGAAAGAACTGGAGAAGATAACAAGATACAAAGACCTACAAATAGAAATAGAAAGACTGTGGCAAAAGCAAGCAAGGGCAGTACCAATAGTAATAGGCTCCTTGGGTGCAATCCCAAAACAACTGGAGCACCACTTGAACACCATTGGCATTGACAAATTCACCATTAGTCAATTGCAAAAGGTGGCCTTACTAGGAATTGCTTCCATCCTGCGACGATATCTGTAATACCATCAAACATCCACATTTGCCTACCCCAGGTGCTTGTTAAGGACTTGATAGGTAGACAAAAATGCCAAATCCAGTCTAAATATCTGGCTGACTGTGCGATGATCAATAACAACAACAACAACAATAATAACAACAATAACTTTATTATCACTCTGAATGTACACCAATCAGTATACATCAAAAAGAAATTTCATTGCATACAGCTTTCAAATGGTCACCACCTCTGATATATACACTCCTTGTTCATGGCCAGCTCAAGTTTCAGATCATCCATCTTAGTCTCTAGGCCGCGAATGACGGCAAACAGGACGGATGGAAATGGAGCTCCATATACTGCATGGTTTCCAAATTTTGCTGTTTGGTTTCCTAAATTACATTAATTTTGCATGTTCTTACTGCACAATGTATCATTTATGACTCAGATAAACAATGGTATTGATGCTTCACAACTGGTGCTCTTTTTTTAAAAAACTAATTTTTATTTTTAACCAACAAGACAAAACAGAACAAAGCAAAACATAACACACATACACACACAATATATACTCCTTTTTTTTACAGCAATTACGTAACGATAATCTAATATTTACATTTCCCCCTTATTCTTCTTTAAATATTTGTCCTTATAGCCCCATTATTTCTTATTTACATTTTTCTTCCTTCATGCTCTATTTCTTACTAAGAATAATTCATATTATTATTATTATACATTATTATACACATATTTTCACTTTTGACCTTTCCATATTTATTCTCCTCTATTATTTCTAGCCTCCAACCAGACATACATACAACTGGTGCTCTTTCATGTTTGCTGCTCATTCTTGAAGACTCTTTGAAGAGCCACCTTCAAGGATGTTCTGGGCTGACTCTTTCCCCTCTGCTTCCTCCCCACTAAGAAATAAAGGAGTGGGTTGATGCTGCTCTTGAGAGTAGCACTTCCTATTCCAATTGTCAAGAGGACGGGATGAGGGAAACTGAAATAATAAATGACATATGAGGCATACTTTGGGAGAGAAAAAAGGAGGAAGAAGAGGAGAGCCAGCAAGATGGTGGTGAGGAACTTCCTTTGATTGTGTTGCGATTTAGACCTCATGTGAATCCAGAGGCTCACAGTAGACAAAACCATGAGAGGCGTACAAAATAAGCCATTCACAATAAGCTGGTAAAGCAAAGGTGAACTTCCAGAGCCTCTGTTCTGGTGGAGAATGAAGTGCACTGCAGAGAGCAAGAAGGAGAGGATCCAGATGGGGCCACAAACAAGAGTGACGAGATATGGCAGGTGATGGCAGTGATGCCAGAGTGGGAAGAGGACAAACACACCTGTCCAGGCTGATGTCCGTCAGCAGAAACTGGCTAGCAGAATAGGTGAAGGAAATGAACTCAAAAAACAAGAAGAAAAAGGTTTGGACAATGCAAGTTTTTTTTTATAAAGAGTTGACACCCTCACAAATATAGCTGCCATAATGAGGGATGCGAGGACCCCAAAATTAGCAATGGAGAGTTTCAGGATTTAAATGAATGCACATATTATTTATGGCTATCAAGCGTGAATGTACAGTGATAGTAAAACTTCACGAAAGTTCTTCCTTTGCAGCTTGCTATTCTTCCAGGCTGCCCTACTATTCATCCTTGAAGACTCTTTGCAGAGCAATCTTGTATGATGCTCTTGGCTGGTCCTTTCCTCTTTTCTTCCTCCCAACAAAGAAATAAAGCAGGGGGTTGATGCTGCTATTGAGAGCAGCACATCCTATCCCAACGGTCACGAGGAGGGGATTATAGGAACCAAAATATTCAATGACATACAAGGCATCCATTGGAAGAGAAAAAAGGAGGAAGCAAAGGAGAGCCAGCAGGATAACGGAGAGCGGTTTCCTTTGATTGCGTTGTGATTTAGACCTTATATGAATCAAGAGAGTCCCAATAGACACAACCATGAGTGGGGTACAAAGTAAACCATTCACAATCAGCTGATAAAGGAAAGGTGAACTTTCAGAGCTGTTGGTCTGGTGGAGAATGAAGTGCACCGCAGAGAGCAGGAAGGAGAGGATCCAGATGAGGCAACAAACCAGGGTGGACAGATATGGAGGACGATGGCAGCGATGCCAGAGTGGGAAGAGGACTGCCACACACCTGTCCAGGCTGATGGCCGTCAGCAGAAACTGGCTGGCAGAATAGGTGAAGAGAAAAAGCTCAAAAAATAACAAGAAAAAAACTGCCAGAAGTTTCGTCGTTTCATGGAGAGTTAAAACAGCCACAAATATAGCTGTAATAATAAAGAATGTGAGGCCCCCCGAATCAGCGATAGAGAGATTCAGGCTGAAAGTGGTGAAAGAATTCCTCTTAATGGAACAGGCTAAAAAATAAATTGTTGCTCCATTTCCAATCAGGCCTAAAATACAAACAATGGCAATGGAGCCGTTGATGAGGTTTCGTGTTAAAACATCAAGCGTAGGAGTAGCTCTTAAATATTCTTCCCAGCCATGACTCCTGTTAACACAAAAAACAAAAAAGAAAATCAGTCCTTGTTTCAGAAATCCTTGAATGCTGAAATAATAGTAGTAGTAGTAGTAGTAGTAGTAGTAGTAGTAGTAGTAGTAGTAGTAGTAGTAGAAGAGTTGGAAGAGACCTTGGAAGTCATCTAGTCCAACCCCCTGCTCAGGCAGGAAACCCTATACCATTTCAGACAAATGGCTGTCCAGTCTCTTCTTAAAAACTTCCAGTGTTGGAGCATTCACAACTTCTGGAGGCAAGTTGTTCCCCTGGTTAATTGTTCTCACTGTCTGGAAATTTCTCCTTAGTTCCAGGTTGCTTCTTTCCTTGATCAGTTTCCATCCATTGCTTCTTGTCCTGCCTGCAGGCACTTTGGAGAATAGCTTGACTCCCTCTTCTTTGGGGCAGCCCCTGGGATATTGGAACACTGCTATCATGTCCCCCCTCATCCTTCTCTTCATTAAACTAGACATACCCAATTCCAGCAGCCGTTCCTTACATGTTTTAGCCTCCAGTCCCCTAAACAGGTGAGGTACCTAATAGTAACTATTTCATCCTCAGAGTTCTTATTTATTTATTTGGTGCTACAGCATCTTTCCTTTAGGAGATCAGAATCTGTAGTTATCAAAACTCTAGTAACTTCATGCAACTCATCAGTGAGGTTCCCTAGTAATTCTCAAATGGAGATCAGCCACTCACTGGGGAGCTTTATCCCTTGTCTGCCACCTACTCTAAATCTAAGTCCTGGTGGATGATCACTTAACTATGAGCCAGCAGTGTGCAGCAGCAGCCAAAAAAGCTAATACAGTCCTGGGTTGTATAAACAGAGGCAAAGAATCAAGATCCCGTGAAGTACTAGTACCACTTTATAAAGCTCTAGTAAGACCACACCTGGAATACTGCAGCCAATTTTGGTCACCACATCACAAAGAAGATGTGGAGAGTTTGGAAAAAAATCAGAGAAGAGGAACTAAGATGATCAAAGGTCTGGAGACTAAAACATACAAAGAACGGCTACGGGACTTGGGTTTGGCTAGTCAAAAGAAAAGAAGAAATAGGGGAGACATGATAACAGTGTTCCAGTATCTGAGGAGCTGCCACAAGGCAGAGGGGGCTAGGTTGTTCACCAAAGCACCAGAGGGAAGGACGAGGGACAATGGTTGAAAACTGATCAAGGAGAGAAGCAACCTAAAATTAAGGAGAAACTTCCTGACAGTGAGGACAATCAACCAGTGGAACAGCTTGCCTCCAGAAATCGTGGGTGCTCCATTGCTAGAAGTTTTTAAAAAGAGACTGGACAATCACTTGTCTGAGATGGTATAAGTCCTCCTGCTTGAGCAGGGAATAGAAGACCTCCAAGGTCCCTTCCAGCTCTATTCTATTCTATTCTATTCCATTCCATTCTATTCTATTCTATTCTATTCTATTCTATTCTATTCTATTCTATTCTATTCTATTCTATTCTATTCCATTCCATATTTTCTATTCTAGTCTATTCTATTCTATTCTATTCTATTCTATTCTATTCTATTCTATTCTATTCTATTCTATTCTATTCTATTCCACTCCACTCCACTCCACTCCACTCTACTCTAAAAATCTTCATTGAATCACTTGGGAATCTGATGTCTCTGGACATTCACCCAAAGTGGGTTAAAAACAAGCTGAGTTGGGCAGTCTCCATCCTTCAGAAGAGGCTCCTATTCCAGCAGCTCCAATGAGCAGAGCAGAGGATGAATTTTCCTTTGGAATGTGATGAAACGATTCAAAAGCTAATTTAATTCCTTCCAAAACAATATTTTGCATCATAAAATACTTACAAGTAATAGTAGGTTAGCCACGCACCAAAGCCTCTTGTGTTATTTAAATCTAAGTTACAGAAAGATCATGATTAGTGTCAAAATAAACATATATTTTGGAAACATCTTCCAAAGTTACAAATTTGTTTTTATGTCTCTGTGTCTGTGTATAGATAAATAAAAGAATCCTCAATAATTTTTCCTGTGGTCACCCCAGAGAGCCGCTGGTGAAAAATCAGTTTTGGTGGTGCTTACTAAGGTCCTTGCCCCAGAAATATTTAACCTGGTAATTAATTAAAAAAAAATCATCTTCAAAGGGAAAATTTTCTTCCCACCCTTGTTTTTCCTTCATTTTCAGAAATGCTTCTGGGCTTCAAGTCACTTAAAAAAAAAATCTTAAAGTACATGGAGATTGACTTCATCCCTTGTGTCTTTTCAAAGGACAATTCTGGGATGATGTTGTGTATAGGAAATGGCAGATAACACCATGTTAACATTCTTATGTGGGAAAAGAGCCCCCCAGAGAAGGAAATATTAAAAGGGCAGAAAAATATATTTCCTGAAAGGATCTTAAAGAGGCAGAAAAGGATGCCCAGTTTTTCTGTCTCCCTCCCCCAAGCAGAAACCAGTTCTATAGAAATGCAGATGTAACTCCAGGAAGATTGGAGCTAGAAGATTAAGAAGACAAAGACACCTAAAATCTACATACCCCACCCAAAGTCTAAGACATGATATAATAGGATTAACTCACAGATGCCAAAGGGACACAGGTCAAAATACATGACACAGGAAAGAGCCTCAAACAGAAACAGGAAACAACTCCAAACAAAAGGCTCAAGCGGGTATAAAAACCCACTCCCTACATGTGCTCACTTTTTTTTCTGCCAGAGCCATCTTTGTTATCCAGCTCTCCTCTTCAATAAACTGCAACCTTCTTTCTAAAGCAGTCACCATGTTTATTCCCAGCTTGGACTGAATCACGATGAAGACTTTTCTTTCAATAGTTACATTCCCCATGAAAACTATTTTATGAAAAAAAAATTGCTTAGGAGACATTTTGTGGACGTACCCATGGAATATCTTCAAAATATCAATGCAAGCTTAATTCCAGGAGGCATGGGAGAGGAGTGACTTGTGATTTGCTGCTAAAATTTCATTTTGGGAATAAGCTCACAAAGCATTATAAACCCTTGAGGTTTTAGTTATCAGTAGCACCCACAAAGGAAAGGAAATTATATATAATACGCTGTTCATACCATATGAATAATTAAATTGCTGCTCCATTGTGCAAAAAATGTCGTTTTCTTGCTTAGAAACATTCAACTCCATGGATAAGGTGGACAATCTGGGGCACTGTAAATTAAGAGGAAATGCAATGATCAAAAGCAAGCAAACTCGATTTTTTTTTTCTGATTGTCAAAATGATTAAAGGATTTGGGCTCTTAGGGAATTCAAATTCCTTTGTCCTCACAAAACAGGCATAATAACCCTTCCTAGCTTTCAATCAAGCAATCAGAATTTATTTACAGGCCAAGCTCAAACGCAATACAAAAGAGCAGAAACGCAGTACAGTTAAGTACAAAACATGAATTTTAAAAATGGAAAATATTAAAAAAGTTAGCAGCTAACAATCATTAGCGTGAGAATAGAACCTGCTATAGCTGGATAGATTTAAGAGTCAAGTTAAGAAGCAACAGAGAGAAAGCAGAGCTGCTTAACTCTTAATTTTTTGCATTAGTCTTCACGCAAAAAGAAACTATAGCCCAACCAACCAAAAACCTAACCCTAAAGGACAGACTAAAAATTAAAATTAAAATAAGCAAGAAAATGGTAATAGTAATAGTAGTAAAGTTGGAAGGGACCTTGGAGGTCATCTAGTCCAACCCCCTGCTCAGGCAGGAAACCCTTTACCATTTTGGACAAATGGCTGTCCAGTCTCTTCTTAAAAACTTCCAGTGTTGGAGCATTTACTGCTTCTGGAGGCAGGCGGTTCCACTGATTAATTGTTCTCACTGTCAGGAAGTTTCTCCTTAGTTCTAGGTTGCTTCTCTCCTTGGTTAGTTTCCACCTGTTGCTTCTTGTCCTACCTTCAGATGCTTTGGAAAATAACTTGACTCCTTCTTCTTTGGGGCAGCCCCTGAGATAATGGAACACTGCTATCATGTCCCCCCTTGTCCTTCTCTTCGTTAAACTAGACATACCTAATTCTAGCAACCGTTCCTTATATGGTAAAAGAACACCTGTCTCTTCTTGACAAATATAAATCACCAGGATCTGATGGATTACATCCCAGAGTTCTGAAGATGCTGGCAGATATTATGTCAGAACCATTGCACCATATCTTTCAAAAATCCTGGAGCAATCAGTCAGTCAGAATAGAGCTGGGAGGAAACTTGGGATCTTCTAATCCAACTTACTGCTCAAGCAGAAGACCTATAAATACAATTTCAGACAAGTGACTGTCCAATCTCTTCTTTGAAACCTCCAGTGATGGAGCGCCCACGATTTTGGAAGGCAGCTTCTGTTCCACTGGTTAATTGTCCTCGCTGTTAGGAAGTTTCTCCTTGATTCCAGGTTGCTTCTCTCCTTGATTAATTTCCATCCAGTGTTTCGTTTCCTACCATCTGCTGCCTTGGAAAACGTCAAGAGAAAAGAAGGACTAAGGGAGACATGATAGTATTATTCCAGTATTTGGGGGGCTAACCAACCTAAACCCCTGAGACAGAAGAATATTTTCTTTAGAAATACTGCACAATCAGATCTTCCAAAAAGGAGTAATAGAAAAATCTCAAAAGGAACCCAGACCCAGAAACTAGCTGTTAGAAATTTAGATTCGTCCAGGAAACACGGGGGAAAGAAAATGCCTCAAGGAAACAGCCATTTCCCTTTACAAGAAAGGATAAGTCAAGCTGAAATTTAAAAGTACCAAAGAAGAGGGTTTTTTTTTCTCTCTTGCTCTTCCTCCCTCACCCTATGTAATTCTGGGCAGACAGCCAAGAACTATTTAGCCAAAGGAAATGGCCTTGGGGACAAGAAACACAAAACATGCACTTTGTGTAAACAATAAAAAAACTCGACTGGATTAGAGGCTGCGGAAATACCCACCTGACAGAAACAATGTAAAAACTAACAAGATTAGCCCAAGCACACACAGAGAAACCCATTAGCGTAGCAAGGAGGTGAAGTGGTCGGCTAGGAAGCCCCATGTAGAGATGGTAGAGCATGGCCCCGGCCACCAGGCAAAAGGCCACCCTGAGCGGGGAAAGCCAGATCCCCATCGGTGTCATGGCCGCTCGGGCCCAGTAGAGATGAGGGAGGCACACAATCCTAGCTGGGATGGGGGGGGGAGCATGGCGCCGATGGGGAACTGGCTTTCCCTACTTGGAGTGGCCTTTGGCTTGTTGGGCATGAGTGTGTTCTACCACCTCTACTCGAGCTTGCTAGCTGGCTGCTTCGCCTCCTTTGTGCTGGTTTGGGATGCTGCTCGGGGTGGTGGCCTAATGGACCTGCACGAGCTGCTGGCGGTGGCATCCCGTGGTGGGGCCAAGATGTGTCTGGTGTGCAAAGGGAACAGGCTCCATGCATGGGCCAAGGGCAAGATCTGTGAGGGGGCCGAGATGACCAGCAGCAACCTGCTCTCCAACCGCAAGCAGAAACAGATGGGACAGAGTAGGTGTGTCCAGTGGTCTGCATCATGCACCTTTCCCCTTCCCTACTTTGCCTGCTGCTGGAGGGCTGGCCTGGTGTTGGCAGTGGACTGTGGAGCCCCAGAGTGCGTCCATCAAGGGGCCAGAAGGCTGTGGCTGTTGATGGACACTGTTGGTCCCCATACACTCGCTGACCTCTGAGTGCAGGGGCCAATGGGGCTGCTGCTGTCTCACCTCGCCTCGCCTTACCTTGCCCTGCGGTAATGGCACCCCACACTGCCCCCTGCCTCACCCCATAGTATGAACCTTCTGCCTACCACCCCACCCACCAGAGACCCCCTGGATCTCCCCCAACCCTGCCCGGTCCCCATAGGCATCACCTCCACAAGCAACATCAAGGTGGTCATGGCCACCCCAGCCATGCCCCCCCAGTCTGCTGTGACCACCACAGCCATGGTCACCTAGTGGGCCATGCCCCCCTCCCCCCTGCGGGCACGACAATGCTGATGAAGCCCCGGCATTTTGCAATAAATAAGTGGGTGTGGGGTTGTGGTTTGGGCACTCGGTCTCGAAAATGTTCACCATCACTGGTGTAGGGTTTCCTGCTTGAGCAGGCGGTTGGACTAGAAAACCTTCAAGATCCCTTCCAGCTCTCTTCTGAATTGAAATTGAAGTTGAGTCCCATTATTGGCTAGGGGATCCTGTCAAATTTGCTGATCCCATCCTGAAGATTTCCAAGTCTTATCCTGATCTCAAAAACGAGTACTTTGCGAAGAACAATGACCACCACAAAAACTCTGGTCTTTACTGCTGACATAACTGGTGAAGAAAGGAAGCATCTCCAGAGAGGACCAGCTAGTTTTCTTTTTTTCAGAAGGGAAGGCGGAGATGTTTTTCTGTGAATCCAGATGTTTCGCCCTTGAGGCAGTCACAGTGAGAAAGGGGAATTGAGCTGAACCGAGCTGCAATCTTTCTCAGAAAGAGAAAAAGGAACTTGCGTAATATGTGTTATGTGCGCCTTGCTACTTTCCTTCGTGACCAGAGGCAAGCTCGCCTGACCAATAACCAGCCAAGACACAGTGAAGACCTTTTGTTTCGTTTATTGTACATTAAAATTAGGAGATAATTTATGCAAGGTGTGTCAGTTAATATTAATCAATTAATTGTGCATGCTCAGTTGCCTGAATTCGGCCCCCTTTTTATGACTTCTTAGAAAAATAGGTTCTTTCCTGTTTTGCTAGTTATCTTCTATTACAGATGTTTTCTTCTTCCTTTTCCCACTCTTAAGACCCAGCTATTTTTGCCTACATATTTCCTTTACCTCCTTTCTTTATGTTAACCTTTCCTCTTTCCCACCATAGCTTCTCTACTCAGTATATTTCCACGGCAGCAAATTCAATTTTAAATTTCTCTTTCAGTATTAAATTTTGAAGATCTTTCTTTTACTTCTATCATTTGGATCTCTGACTTTTGTAACTTAAGCTGTTTTTCCACACAAGATGCAAAGGAGGTGCTTAAAGAAACGATCATATCAAAGAGTCACAGGATTTAAAAGGCCATGAATTGAGATCTGATTCACATGGTGATTTACAAGAAATGAAAAGGATGAGGGGGGACATGATAGCAGTGTACCAATATCTCAGGGGCTGCCCCAAAGAAGAGGGGGTGAAGCTATTCTCCAAAGCTCCTGAAGGCAGGACAAGAAGCAACGGATGGAAACTCATCAAGAAGAGAAGCAACCTAGAACTAAGGAGAAACTTCCTGAGAGTTAGAACAATTGATCAGTGGAATAACCTGCCTCCAGAAGCGGGGAATGCTCCAACACTGGAAGTTTTTAAGGAGAGACTGGACAGCCATTTGTCTGAAATGGTATAGCGTTTCCTGCCTGAGCAGGGGGTTGGACTAGATGACCTCCAAAGTCCCTTCCAACTTTACTACTACTACTACTACTGCTACTACTACTACGGATCATCGCACAGGACCTGGGGTAGGCAAATGTGGATCTATAGTTGTATTACAGATATTACAGATATTACAAATATTGTCGCAGGATGGAAGCAGTTCCTAGTAAAGCCACCTTTTGCAATTGACTAATAGCGAATTCGTCAATGCCAATGGTGTTCAAGTGGTGCTCCAGTTGTTTTGGGATTGCACCCAAGGAGCCTATTACTATTGGTACTACCCTTGCTTGCTTTTGCCACAGTCTTTTTATTTCTATTTGTAGGCCTTTGTATTTTGTTATCTTCTCCAGTTCTTTCTTGCCTATTCTGCCGTCTCCAGGCATTGCCACGTCCACTATCCAGACTTTTTTGTCTTTCTTATTGACAATTGTTAAGTCCGGGGTGTTATGTTGTTGTTGTTGTTATTATTATTATTTAAAAAAACAATAACCAATCCTTGCTTTCAAAATGACTCCAGGAAATAGTGCAAGCATTTACTATTTTGATCATTTTTTCCAGGGTGCAAATGCATGTTTGATTCTGGACTTCAGATCAAAAATCAGAAATTCAGTGAATAGAAGGGACTTCCTCTTAGACTGATCTAGATGGAGCAAGATCAAAGGTTGCTGTTCCAATACAGGATGTTGGTTGCCTGGCATCTATAGTTCTTGAAATACAGGATGTTGGTTGCCTGGCATCTATAGTTCAACAAATCACATCCAAGGTGGACATGAAACACATTTTATTCTGTACTGAATAGACTCCTTGGGGTTATACAGTTCCCAAATCAAGTGACAAGGAAAAAAGCTTTCCAACGTTTTTATACCATTCCTTACCAAAAAAAGTATCATGTGATTTTAAAGGTAATCAAAACTAGCAGATGTTCCATAACAGCCATTTTTTATCAGTAAAACAAGCATGTCTCATATCTGATATATCTCACATGGGCAGGAAAAAACACTCATCTTTCAAGCCTGTGTTTCCTGTATGATCCACAGCTGGTCTCTTAAATATTAGAACAACGTGATCAGGAAGGACAACCCTGATGTTTAAGACCATTGGTATGTTCCAGTACTTTGTTTTCATATCTTGTCCTTGTTTTATATCTATCCCGAATTCTAAGTATGTCAGTTCTAACAAGAGGATTCTGGAAAGCTATGTTAGCTTTCCATTTCTCATATCATAAGTCACCGTGTGATTCCGAATCTCAATTCGTGACCTTAAAACTCCTCTATCCCTTTGATATGGTCATATTTTTAGCATTTCCTTTGCCTCTTGTCTGCGATAACACTTTAAGTTGCAAAAGTCAGAGACGCCTATTGCACAAGTTCTTTTTTTCCTTCCCCAGAAAGTTTGCAGGTTGGTCCAATTCAATTCCCCTTTCTCGGAAGAAGGAACTAACTCCATCAAATAGAGGCCAGCGAGAATATCATCCTTGAGATTCTGCTGGTCTGCTCTGGAGATTCTTCCTATCATCACCAGGTAGGTTAATAGTAAAAGCAAAGCTTCTCATGCAGTAATTGTTATTTACAAAGTACTCCTTTTTTTTTTGAGTTCAGGATAGGCTTTGGAAACCATCAGGATGGGATCAGCAAGTCTTGCAGGATCCTCTGGCAAATAACAGAACTCAATTTAGCAGCAATTTTATTTCAGAATAATGTGACATGTTCTATTATCTCTGATTCCAATAAATCTTTATATATATATAAAGTGCAAGCGGCCCAGGTTCGAATCTCAGAAGGGCATGGCTAGCTGATGACAGCTAAATAGCTCAAAATTGTTATACTGGTCTCCCTTTAATTCTTTATCGGCAAAAATCTAAATTTAACATACATACATACATACATACATACATACATACATACATACATATATATATATATTCTTCTCAAGTTACTTTTTTTGTAAAGTTTTTATTAATTTTTTTCATACAATTCAGGAGTATTTATTCAACAAACGTGTTGTCTGAGTTTATCATTCACTAATACAAATTTAATTCCCCATCCTTTATTCTTTTCTCCAGCCATTGATAAAATAAGTCCCTAGTTTGAAAATATTCTGTTTCTTCTTTTCCTTTCAAGCTCAAAGTAAGTCTGTCCATTTCTGCACGTTCTAATATTTTTTTAAATTATTTCTTCCTCTGATGGTATTTCTTCATTTTTCCCATATTGTGCGAATAGGATTCTTGCCGCTATTATCACATGTAAAATCAACTATATGCTTTGTTTTTCAACTTTTTTTCTGGCATTATACCTAGCACTTATACCTATTCTCGAGTTATTAATTGTTATCTACTACCTTTTTAAAGATTTTCTCACAATTTTTAATCCTTTGTTTATAGTTGTTGTCTTGTCTTGTTGGTGTTATGATTGGAAAAAGGGAACCTCACAATAAAGATTAGTATTAGAATTAATATTCGTAGTCTGAGCACCTTGTTTGGACTGTCTCACTGATGTTAATCTTGATGATCAATGACAAGACCTCCATCTTTGACAGCTTTACAGGAAAGTTCCTTTTTCTCTTGTTTTTTTTTTCTGGTTATATATTTCTCACTCATAACCAAATGCGAAGACATCTCAAACAGTTTTTATTCAGATGACTTGATGAAATAACATAGTTTTTAACTCATTAAAATTCCTTTGTTATGATCATTCTATTGTAATGATGATGATAATGATGATGATGATATTGGAAGAGAACTTGGAGGTCATCTAGTCCAACCCCCTGCTCAGGCAGGAAACCCTATACCATTTCAGAGAAATGGCTGTCCAGTCTCTTCTTAAAAACTTCCACTGTTGAAGCATTCACCACTTCTGGAGGCAGGTTATTCCACTGGTTAATTGTTCTAACTGTCAGGAAGTTTCTCCTTGTGTTGATGGTTTTTCGACAGCCTTCGGTCGTGGGCTTTAAATGAATTTTGATTGATTGTTTTAGAGCTAGGAAGGATTACATGTGTTTTCTGAAGACGGCAAACTAGCCATGGTTTTGAAGTTGAATCTAAGAACAGAGTTCTTTATGTTATTTTGACTTTTTTTTCAGTCAAGTTGACTTTTTTTAAATAATTGTATTTCTTCTTAAATTGTAGTGTCTTGAATTGTCCTCCTTAACTTGGATCTGAATTTCCCCAAACAGACAAACAACAATTTTGCACAATGGAAGAATTTAATTACATAGAAGGTAGGAACAGCACGTAAATTATATTAGATATCATCTCATATATTAGATATCATCTCATAGTATGTTTAAATGTGTGTTATATATGTATACACTTTGAGATCAAGCAACTAAATTTCATTTTTAATGTGTGTCATTGTGCCCACAGTAAAAAAATGACAAAAAGTTTATCTATCTATCTATCTATCTATCTATCTATCTATCTATCTATCTACCTACCTACTACCTACCTGTCTGTCTATCTATCTATCTATCTATCTATCTATCTATCTATCTATCTATCTATCTATCTATCTATCTATCATCTCTCTTTCCTTGTGGGTGCTATTTATGAAAAAATAGTATTCATAATGCTTCATAAACTTATTCCAAAATTCAAATTCTACTACCAGTTCATGACTCCCTGTGCTTTCTCCACCTCCTGGGGTTATGGGGCAGGCATTGGCATTTTGCAAACATTCAGAGGGTGCTTTTACAAAAATGGCTTCTGATGGAATTATTCAGAAACTCTTATGGAACATTTAAGAATATGAACACATTGATACCTGCCACTTGCTCAGACAATACCATCCCAGAAGGACACAAGAGTTGAAATCAACCTCTTTGTTCTTCAAGAGAACATTAAGAAAAAAAAAATGTGATTGGAGGCCTAGAAGCATTTCTGAAAATGTGGGGAAAACAAGGATGGAGAAATAGTTGATTTTTCAAAATGAGCATTTTTGAATGAATTATAATTCTGGAGCAGCTTAGAGAGGACCACGTTAATCATTGACTAATGACTATCTGGGCAACTGCAGTAAAAAAACAACAACATTGGGGATTATTTAATTTATGCACAAACACTGCATTCAGAAAGACACAAATCTGTATGGAAGAACTTTTTAAATCTAAAACACATTAGCATTTTTGCTGCCTGCTTTTATTGATCTTAATCTTGACTTAATATAATTGCTTCCTTAGATGATGATGACTTTAGTGGAAGTGGCTTCTATAATGTTACATCTGAATACCCAGATGGGTAAGTACATTATAGTACAAAGTATTTGCTTTGCAGGAATGTAATTAGCCTTCTAAGTGTTTCATAACATTCTAAAAGGAAAATTGCTCCTCTGCTCTGCCCATGGAGGCTTCTGGTAAGGATGGATAGAAATTGCTCAATTCAGCTTGCTCTTAACCCACTTTGGACAGATTCCCAAGAGACCCAACGAGGATGTTTGGATTCAGTGCAGGCAACAGACAATGGACAAAGTTCCCAGAAGAGCAGATCATCAACATTTTGAGAGCAGATGTGAATTTGGTGCCCCACATAATGCAAAGATGATGATTTTTCTGAAGAAAAGAAGGGGTGGATGACAATGGACCACCATGGACACCTAAGGAGAGAATCTTTCCTGGGTCATAATAATAATAATAATAATAATAATAATAATAATAATAGTAATAAAACCACCAGTGAGGCACTACCTTGACGGGGTTGTGGGGCTTGTGTACTCTGAGGAAGATGAGAGCTATGCCAGAGGTTCAACCATACTGGACAGGTCTCATCAGAGTAGTCAGACAAAGAGTGTCTCTCCCATAAAAAATATGGTGAGACGTAAATTGCAGAATGCCATACCGGCTCGGACGTCGCCCGGGTTAACAAGGTCCGCGATAGATATTGGAGTTCCTGGATATCTGGTGAAAAATGGGTTACAGGACTCAGGACTGTTGGCTGAGCAACCAGGGCCAGCAGCTGCAGAACTACTGGAAGAAAAGGTGTTTACCCGTCGCAGATACACAGTGATGGAAAACAAAGAAATAATGATCTGTTACTACAGATCAAGTCCAACAAGACGAGGATATCTAAAACGAATGCACGAATTCTGGAAAGAACAACATCCAGAACCAGAAATAACAGAACAGAGACTAGCAGATCAACGCCGATTTATAACACGAAATAAAGTATTTACAGAAACAGAATTGGACGAACTGCAAAGGTTTACCCAGGGCAAAGAAATCAAAGCCTTACAAGAAGTAATTCAGAATGTAGAGGCAAACCAGGGGGAGTTGGCAGTGAAAGAATCCAGTAGAGATATACAACTGTTATCATTTGGAAACCAGGCACCTCTTCCTCAGGAAGAACAAAACCCTCTAACTAAAGAAATAAAAGAATTGAAACAAAGAATAATTGAGCATCTAGAACAGCACAAAAACAACAGAATAAGGCTGCCTGCATTGAAGCTTGTTCCAAAGAAACAGCTAGCACAAGCATTAAAAGATGCAAATACTGCAATAGCAAGTATAAGCACCAATTCACTGCAAGAAACAAACAAACTAATGTACAGCACAGCTGCAGTTATAACTGAATACCTGGGATGCAAAATCAACAAAGAAGAAAAACAAACAGTGCACCACAAAAATGGAAGGTTAGACTAGAAAATAAGATCAGCAAGTTAAGATCACATGCAAGCAAGCTAGAACAGATGAAAGAAAGAAAGCTGAAGAAGAAGAAGAAGACCAAAAAATACCTAATCAAGAAA